GAAGTAGATTGCCAGGCCTTTCCCTGAGGCACCACAGGCTAGACTAGAACCCCCTGATGGATGTTAGAACCTGTGTATCTTAGTAGTAAAAAAAAAAAACAAAAAACTCCACTGCTGTTGAGTTGGTTCCACCTCATAGCAACCCCTCCTTGGATTTCTGACGCAGTATCTCTACAGAAGTAGATTGCCCAGTCTTCCTTCTGCAGAGTAGCTGGTGGGTTTGAACCGCCAGCCTTCTGGTTAGCAGTCACATGCCTTAGGCACTACGAAAATTATTTTTTGTTGTTTGGGTTTGTTTGTTTGTTTTTGGTGTGGCCCATTTTTCTAATGGTATATTCTGGCTTTTTAGTTATTTGTAGGTTTAATTTTGTTTCTGTCTTTAATGAATGATGTAGGTGTTCTCCACCAAAAAGCATATATGTTAATTCATATTTTTTCCCCCTAATTTTCACTTTTAATTATTTTCAATCTTGCATTCATTTTTATTGTTAGCTTGAAGTAGGGATTTTTTTTTTTTTTTTTAATTTATTAACAGGTTTATCTCAGAATCATTTGTTAAATCCATCCCATCCTCAAGGGTTTTAAATACAACACTTACAGTAACCTTTTGCATATATGTAAGTCTATTTCTGGTCTTTTTCTTTTCTTCCATATAAATAAACTTCTCGAGAATAAGCACCATGTCTTGTTTCGCTTGTTGCTATTATCTCCAAGGACTGACTTACTGCCTGACATGTCCATACAGTAGATGCTAAATATGTTTGTTGACAGACTGCTTATTTCTGTTTCGTTACATTTTTAAATTACTATAGTTTACAAGTGTGTATATTTTGTTATCTTTATGTGTATATATTTTTTAATAATGTCTTTAAGATTTTGACTAAAATATCATTAAATGTATGATTTATTGGTAAGAATTGTGTCAATTTTATTATCCAGAAACACGTAAACAAGTAAAATATTCCTTTTACTTATTTTTTTAGTTTTTATTTCTCTTAGTAGATGTAACAATTTTTCCAAGTAATTCTCTTGGCATTTCTAGATTTTTAATAACATAGACTATAAAAATGTTGACACTTTTCCAATATTTATTGCACTGGTCAGAGTGGCCACTATTAATAGTGAAAAGAATAGTAGAAAGAATAAACGTGACCTTGATTTTCACAATGGAAAAAAGGCACTTAGAAGATCTGGGAACAAATTATCTGCTTAGAGCCACAGTGATTCAGGATAAAAGGTGGTGGACTGAAGGGAGTGTTTTTGATGATATTTATCACACTTGAATAGCACTTGTCTTATTTAAGTCTTCATTGTGAGTCAGCTCATACACAGGTTACAAAGTCTAGAGTAAATTCCAGAACCCAAAGTAAGGGCATAAGTGGTGGGCACTACTTTTTTTTCCAAGTATCAAGTCACAAACAGTTCTCTGCATAACTAAACTGTGAGATTATAGAGTTTAGAATTTTTATTTTTGTGTGGATTTCTACCTTAACAGAATTAGTTTCTTACTTTGAATTAAAACTATAAGGTATCTTTGGATTTGAGAAATTATTGATCCTTTTGGAAAGAGGAAGAAGGGAACAATGACATATAGGTTGGGACTGAGGACAGAGTAGAACACCACTGAACTGCTTTATGTATTAAATAATTCCAAAGTTGGACTTTAAAGGAGTTTGTTTTGATTAGTCAGCCTGATTGTAATGCAAGCCATTTACAAAGATTGTATTACACAGTTTAGGGAAACTATGCTTATCATGATACAGAATTAAGAATGAATAATAATCATATCGTCAAAAAGTATATCACTAAAGATTCCTACCCCTAGTTGATTTATAGACTTGTTGTATTCTTTATATGTCATTTTTCTATTCAGTGGCCAGTTCTTTGGGTTGATTTGTTGGTGAATTTTTAACTGTTTGGGAAAAGAAATTTGTGAGGAGCTTTCTAAATAAGTAGGAAAGAATGTAATAGGTTTATTTGGCCTTGGGACTTTATTTTTAACATAAACTATCTCACATGCAAATTTCATAAATAGATATTTTTGCACAGATTTTTGTTGGTCATAGTATAATAATACTTTTCCTTGCACAGTTCATCTTTTTGTCATAGTTTTACTGTTGCTTGCCTGGTTTCAGTTGATTTCTTACTTGCGCTATCTGCCTGGCTTTGTAGTTACTGCTTATATACTGTGTATTATGAATGTGAAAACTGGTAAGTAGTTACGCCTGTAAGGTATAATGAAACAACATTTTGAACAGTTGTGTATCATCTGAATGGTATGCATTGGGAGGTAGTGTCCTCTAACAAGATAAATTGATACAAATGGATATGCTATTTGCTGAATTGTCAAATATCTAATATTACCATGGGTTTTTTTTCTGATCATAAATCATTTGTTTTTAAAAAATTTTCCAAAACTCCATTCCTCTAACTCACATCCAAAGATGTGAAGGAAGAGTTTGGAGGAAAGATCGTTCCTGTGTAACATGAGATCTTCAGTATTGTCAGCCATCAAAGGAAGGAGGGGAAGTTCAAGTTCTTGAGAGAAGACAGGTCGGGAGACAGTGATCAGCAAGGATACAAGAAACTAAAAATGAAGAAGTCAAGTAATACTAGATTATAAAATGTAAACAACTGAATGGCAAGAACTATATGTTTGTCCATTGGTGACTTTGTGTAGTAGATAGTCAGTACAGTTATTGAATGAACAGTGATGTCTTTTAAAAGTGTAGACTATGTACAACATTCAAAATTACTGGTCAGAAACACAGATGTGATAATGTCACTGTTTAGTTTAACAGTCTGTAAGGGCTTTTCATTATATTCACAAGTCCAGACGTTAGCATGGAACTCAAGGCTTTTTACCATCAGATCTCATCCTACCTTGTCTAACTTTTATGTACCCCCATTTCCTGTCATATGCTAACCATACTGTATTGCTACCCACTGCCATCAAGTCAGACCCGACTCATAGTGACCCCTCCTTGGGTTTCCAAGGTGGTATCACTACGGAAGTAGATTGCCCAACCTTCCTTCTGAGTAGTAGCTGGTGGGTTTGAACCTCCAGCCTTCTGGTGAGCAGTCAAATGCCTTAGGCACTATGCCACCAGAGCTCCTGTACTGTATTGCTAATCCCCCCCCCCAAATCTGCCATAGATTAGTGCTTATGACGCCGTGATTTTATTGAAGTTGTTCCTTTCTCCCTCTCCTGGGTTGAAGTCCTATAAAGTCTCACCAGAATATACTTCTTTTCTGAAGTTTTCTGCATCCTATTCTTCTTACTCCTGGCAGAATGAATGGTTTCCTTCTCTGTGCTTTTATTGTGTTTTTAATAGACATCCTGTTAAACTCTTTTTCACCTTATATTGTAATTTGTCTTTGTGGTAGTTTGTCCTAATAGCTATCATTTATATGTCAGAATTCCTGGCACATAAAACCAATGTGCCCATCATCTCATTTAATCATCACAACAGTCCTAGGAGGTTGGTGCTATTAGTACATCATCCCCATTTACAAATAAGCTGAGCTGAAAAGGCCTCACAACCTGTACAAGGGAAAAATGACACACAAACCTAGATTCGTCTAACTCCTAAAGTCTCTACCTTAACCATTGTGCCATATTTCTTAATAAATTTAGCTAAATCAGTATTTAGGATTTACATTAATTAAATCATGCCTGCTATCTAGTAGATACTCTGTAAGTTCACACAAGAATTAGGTGCAGACAGTTAGTATGGTTACATTAAAAGGGACAGTGAAAACTGCCATTGTGCCATTCATAAAAGTAAAATGGCTTAAAAACACTGCCATTGTGTCATTTCAGACTCACAGTGACCCCTCCTTGGGTTTCCGAGGTGATACCACTACTGAAGTAGATTACCATAGATTACCTAACCTTCCTTTGGAGGAGTGGCTGGTGGGTTTGAACCACCAGCCTTCTGGTTAGCAGTCACATGCCTTAGGCACTATGCCACCAGAGCACCCAAAATAGTTAAAGGACTCTATAAAACACATACACACAAAACAACTCAATATGTTGTTGATTGGATCTCAGAAACGTTCACTGATAACAGCTTGGGGGAAAGTTTTGCTTTCTAAATATGTCTGGCTTTTTAAAACAGGGCACAGCATATTGTTGTTGTTGTTGTTATGTGGTGTCGAGTTGGCTCATAATGAGCCCTCCTTGGGTTTCCAAGGCAGTGTCACTATGGAAGTAGATTGCCCAACCTTCCTTTCAAGGAGTGGCTGGTGGGTTTGAACTGCCAGCCTTCTGATTAGCAGTCAGGTGCCTTAGGCACTATGCTACCAGAGCTCCCATGGCACAGCATAGTACTACACAACTAAAGCACATCTTGAATTGATTTCTAGGAGACTGCTGCCCCCTGTCTTCAGCCTTTATTACAAATATCCTCACAAGTCAGACACTAATTGAATTTTCACTGGCATAATACATTGTAGAACTGGCCATAACTATACATGTAAACTCTTGTTGAGTTGGGGTTACAGTAAATATTGGAATTGTTAGGGCCAATAAAGTTTGTTGCAAAAAAAAAAGTCTTTTAAAATCTTTATGTGCCATGTATCATTTGTTGTTGTTGTTTTGTGCCGTCGAGTCAGCCCCGACTCGTAGTGACCCCTCCTTGGGTTTCCAAGGCAGTATCACTACGGAAGTAGATTGCCCAACCTTCCTTCCAAGGAGTGGCTGGTGGGTTTGAACCGCCAGGCTTCTGGTTAGCAGTCAAGTGCCTTAGGCACTATGCTACCAGAGCTCCCCATGTATCATTAGTTCTTGAATAAATGTGTACAGAATAAGTACGTCTTTTCTAGAGTTGTCTTAAGTGTCAAATAGTAAGTGGTAAATACCACTTCAAACTTGTGAGAATTAATGTTATTAAGAAATGCTTGGTTCATCTTTTTTTGTCATCTGATTTTCCTTATAAATTGAGTAAAATATGCTATAGATTCAATTTTTTAACTCCTCTTTTCTGTTGTTTCTCTAGTGTTGTTAATAACAGTACTTGTAGTGGAAGGGATTGCTGTGGCCCAAAAGACCCAAGGTAAAGTACTTACAGTGATAATTTGTGGTATGTTCAGGACAGTGGTGTGGCTTGTTTGAAAGAATTGCAAGTTTTGAGTACTATTTCCAGAATCCCTCTGGAGTGTTCTAGTGATCTAAAGCTTTCTGTCAGCCTCAGGTCAGTATCGCCTCAATTTAACTGGATTCAGCTGCATTTAACTAGAGTAAATTGTCAACAGAATGGCTTGCTCTAATAACTTTTTTTATATGGTCATTGTTAGTAGGTCTTCATGTACTGGATTGTGTCCAAAAATTAAATGAGATTCATGTTTTATCACTAAGCAAACCTTCCTGATCTTCCTGGTTTGTGAAAGATTAGAAAAACAGAAAACTCACTGCCATTGATTCCGACTCATAGCAACTCCCTTTGGGTTTCCGAGGTGGTAAATCTTTATGGGACTAGATTGTTCAGTCTTCCTTCTGTATGAATGATAGCTATAGTGTGATTTTTGAACCAGATTTTTATATCAAAATTTAGGACATTTCCTGGATATAGCTTTAAAAAAAAATCAAATTATACTTGCATATGACAAAAGTCAAATGGGTCTTAAAAGTTAATTTGGAAAAATCAGTGCCCAACTATCCTCCCCATACCTCTCTCTGTAGAGATAACTGTTCTTTTAGGTGATCCTTTCGGTCTTTTCCTTCATATGTTTGAGTAACTGATGCATGGACACTTGTTAATTATTTCAGTGTAGGCATTTGATACTTACTGACTTCTTACCCCAGCAGAGGAGAATGTAGTTCTTTCCTACCTTCCACTACCAACCACGTATAAGTATACTTTTATTTTTCATCTGTTCCACCTTCTCCTCTTTCTCTGTTTCTCTGTCTCTCTCTCTCTCTCTGTCTCTCTATAGATATTGAAAAACAAAACAGCTGTTGTTGAGTTGACTTCAAATTCTGGTTAAGTCAGTATTTATGAGTTATATTAAGTCACTTATTGAAATTTTAAATTGGAAATTTTGTCTTGGTTTAGGAAAGTCCTCTCTTTAATTTTTAAAGTTTTCTTTTCCTTTTTTTTCCCCCCTTGTTCTGTCTTTCAGGAATTCCTATTATTTAGTTATTGGCCTTTTTATCATTTATTTATTTTTACTCATTTATATTTTCCATCTTTCCTTTTCTGTTTTCTGGGAGGGTTGCTCAGTTTTAACCAGGAATTGGAAAACTTTCTGTAAATGTCCTCATAGTAAGGATTTTAGACTTTGCAACCCATGCAGTCTCTGAGACAAGTTTTCTGCTCTTCATTGTAGTGTAAAAGCAGCCATGTATGGTACAAATGAATGAGCATGGCTGTATTCCAATAAAACTTTATTTATTATAATAAGCAGTGGGCCAGATTTGGCCCATAGTCATCGTTTGCCAACCTCTGCTCTAGAATTTCTACTAAGTTTTTCATTGCTTCTAGTTTAAGGAGCTTTCTTTTGTTTCTTGAATATTCTGTTTTTTAATGTCTCTATCTTATTTTGTAGATGTACTATCTTTTTCTCTCTCTAAGGTGTTTAAATGATGGTTGTGTGTTACTGGGTTTTTTTTTTTTTTTTCCTTATATTACCTTTTTTTCTCAGAGTTGCTCTTCCTGTTTGTTGTGATCTGTTTTTCATAGTAGATGCTTTCCTCAAATGTCTGGTGATCCTTGAATGTCTGCGATTATTTATGAGAGGAGCACTAAAAAGCTGATCATCAGGCCTCTGCAGTGTAGCTAGAGCTTGTTTACTGTGGCCCTCACTGTTGAGTGACCTGATATATTGGAGAACCCCTCAGTCTACATTTGAGTCTTCTCCTTGAGCTGATTAGATTCCCCAGAGAAGAATCTTTCCATGTCTTGCTTATGTGTCTGACTTCAGCACTGGAGGAAGAGGGCTAGGGGTATCATTCATTGTTAATACTCACCCGATTCCCTTTTCAGGTTGGTATTTTCAATCTCAATTGTTCTTGGTGTCCCAAATTTAAAAACTCTGTTTACCTCCTCCGGAGAAATAACCCCAGTTTTCCAATGTGATGACAGGGCAGCAGCTACCTAGATTTGTGGAGTAGAAGGGGGAATGTTGTTGTTGTGTGCCTTCGAGCCGGCCCCAACTCATAGCAACCCCTCCTTGGATTTCTGTGGCAGTATTGTTATGAAAGTAGATTACCCAACCTTCCTTCTGAGGAGTGGCTGGTGGGTTTGAATTGCCAGCCTTCTGGTTAGCAGTCAAGTGCCTTAGGCACTATGCTACCAGAGCTCCTGGAAGGGGGAAGGCAAAATAGATCAAATTCTAAATAGACTTTTAATCAGTATTTTTGAAAAACCTAATTTAAATAGTCCTCACTTTCAGAGGTATCTAGCACTGCCAGTCGTTACCACTATATCTTCATCTTTGTACTTAGAGTTTATGCCTTTTTTTTTCTTTGTAATAAAATCCCTTCAGTAGTGTTTAATTGAAGTTTTAGGAGGGATCAGAGCTAAATGTATGTATTCAGTCTACATTCTTTAATTAAAATCCCTCTGTAACTTTTGAGTCTTATGTGACCCTTTCATTAATTAAGTATAGGAGTACCCATACCAAGTACAGGAGCTCTGGTGGTGTAGTGCCTAAGGCATTTGATTCTGCTACCCTGAAGTCTGGCGGTTCAAACCCATCATCTACACCTGGGAAGGAAGGTTAGTCAATCTACTTCTGCAGGTAGTCAATCTACTTCTGCAGAGATAATTGCCTCAGAAATGCAAGGAGAGGTTGCTGTTAGTCAAAATTGACTTGACAGCAGTGAGTTTGGTTTTAGCTTTTTGTATCAGGAATAAACTCCTGAGATCCTTCGATTTATTTATTTAGTTTTAAAATTTTATTTTGTTGTTAAGAATATGCACAGCAAAATGTCCATGAATTCAACTATTTTTACATGTTCAATTCAGTGACATTATTACATTCTTCAAGTCATACAGCCATTCTCACCTTCCTTTTCTGAGTTGTTCCTCCCCCATTAACATAAATTCACTGCCCTATAAATTTCATGTCTAATCTTTTGAGTTACTGTTCCATTTTGATCCCATATAGATAAGTTCTTATAAGGCCATACTGCTCAAGGCAGACATTTTTTTACTAGTTTGGTTTAGGAGCTCTGGTGGTACAGTGGTTAAAACATTTGGCTGCTAACCAGATAATTGGTTCAGACCCACCAGCCACTCCCTGAGAGAAAGATGAGTCAGTCTGCTTCCTTAAATACATATTGCCTTGGATTCCCTATGGGGAAGTTCTGCTCTGTCCTGTATAGGTCACTGTGAGTCAGAATCGATGGCAGTGGGTTTGGTGTTTTTGATTTTAAGAAGACCTCAGGAGATATTTTTGGTTTAAGGTTTAAAGATTATTTCCAGGTAATAATTTCAAGGGTTCGTCTAGCCTCCATGGCTTCAGAAAGTGTGGAGTTCATGAGGATTTAAAATTCTGTTCTACATTTTCCACCTTTTGATCAGGATTCTTCTTTAGAATCTTTGATTAAAAATGTTGAGTAATGGTAGCTGGGCACTATCCAGTTCTCCTGGTCTCATGGCAAAGAGGCAGATGTTCACGGAGGATTCTTTTCTTGTTATGGTGGAACTGAATTTTATTGACTTAATTATATTTTCCCATATGGTTTTGTTCTTGTAAAATCTGAGCATTTTATTTACCCATTCTCTTGCATTGTAAATTTGTCTCTAGTTGCAAACTCTTCAAGCCAGCGCAGCATGCACTCTTCTTTCTTTTACTTTTGCTATATTGAATTTGTTGTGCTAAATTTGTTCTTATAAAAATACCTTTCTACTATACAATGGACAGTTGTTTGGGGAAGTTCTTGGGAAAAGAGAGGAATACTATCTTCTATGGCTGCCATTAATGCTTTAAATGCTGTTTTTCCCTAAGATGGACAAAATATTGGAATCAAGCACATTCCTGTAACACAGTGTGGCATTTGGGTTCGAACCAGCAATGGAGGTCATTTTGCGTCCCCAAATTATCCTGACTCATATCCACCAAACAAGGAATGTATCTACATTTTGGAAGGTATTTGACATATTTCTGTCTTTTGTTGGATGAATTTTTAATTTATTGTAAAATTAATTATATTAGTAAAGTATTCTAGTTAAGCCAGTTTGAGTAAAATTTAAATATGCTTATGAATTATACTCTAGTAGTTTTAAATACTCCTGAATATTGGCTACATTAACAGAATAGTAGTTGAAATTAATTAGGAATTTTGACTCTCCTAAGAATGGTTTGAATCTCTTAAGAGTTTAATTCAACTAGTGCATATGAAAATTTTTCTCTTAAGAAATTTTCTTAAACTTACTGGCACCCTTTATTGAGTGCAACAGATGCCAAAGGGAAAGATTATCGTACTTTTAGGAAGGTCAACGTTACCATTCATGTAAAATGTAATATTTATTATGACTTTTTTATTTACAATTCTCATCATTATTCTCATCTATGTAGTAGTGCTTTGTTTTTTTCATTTTTATCAATACATTTATATTTTTTCTTGTTTGTGTTGTCCTGATGTGCTTGCTCTCTTTTTTTCAGCTGCTCCACGGCAAAGAATAGAGTTGACCTTTGATGAACATTATTATATAGAACCATCATTTGAGTGTCGGTTTGATCACTTGGAAGTTCGAGATGGGCCATTTGGTTTCTCTCCACTTATAGCTCGTTACTGTGGTGTGAAAAGCCCTCCATTAATTAGATCAACAGGGAGATTCATGTGGATTAAGTTTAGTTCTGATGAAGAACTAGAAGGACTGGGATTTCGAGCAAAATATTCATTTATTCCAGGTAAAGGATAAATTATCTTTCCAGTTGGTTATGTATCTCACACTATGATTTTAGAATCTTAGGGTTTGAAAACAGAATTTTGGTCAGGCTAATAAAATCAAGGCCTTAGCATTGAGGATGAGAAAGACAGAGAGAGGTACATGGGAGGTACAGACAACAAATATGAACACTTTTGTACATACAGTACTGCGCTGTCAGTGAAGGCTAACATGGGTATATGGGTGGATAGATGGGACAGGCTGAACGATTAGGTATGTCTATGAAATGGGGAGTGTATCCAAGAACATATATAGGGTTGGCAGACAATGGTCCTATAAGTTTATGTGAATGATCAGAATTCCCAGGTGTATAGTAGAGCTGACAAGGGGCAAGGATGTGGTCTCGGCTTGGTCACAGCCAGCTACCCAGAGGGACCGAGTAGTTGAACCTGCGGGCTTGGGACAATAGTCACAGGGGACATCAAGCTCAATTGGCATAACATACTATATAAAACATTGTTCCACCTCCTACTTTGGCGAGTAGCGACTGGGATCTCAAAAGCTAGCAAGCTGCCATCTAGATGCAACGATGGGTCTCTCCTCGTCCAGAGCAAAGAAGAATGAAGAAAACCAAAATTCATGGAAACAATCAGTCCTAGTGACTGGTACACAATCAGATCTGCAACCTATACGACTATGAGACCAGAAGAACTAGATGGTGCCCGGCTACCACTGTCATCCACTTGGAAGGGAATCTACGTAGGAGATCCTTGATAGAGAGGGAGAACAATGTGGAACAAACTTCAGAATCATTTGGAGAAAAAAAAAGGGGAAGGGACCAGATTTGCTGGTTCGATAGAGCTTGGTGGAACCACTGAGGCTATGGCCCGTAGCTGCCCTTCAGATCTGGAATTGAACCCGTGTGGTGTGGACCCGTGGTTTCCAGCCAAACAAAATACAGGCATATGAGTTGAACCTTTATCTCAAGTAGATACACTCCTTGGAGAGAACAATCATTGGAGAAAGAAGGGCTGCTTATGCACAGGGAGACAGCTCAGGGGACAGGAGCCCGTGGAGGGATGGACACTGGGAAGAGATAACTGTGGGGAGGAGGGGAGCTGTTGCATTGTGGTAAACTGTGGTCAATGTCATGAGACAAAGTATATGTGAACAGCTGTATGGAAAGTGAATTTGCTCTGTAAACCTTCACCCAAATCACAATTAAAAAAAAAAAAAATCAAGGCCTTAAAAAAATTAGCAAGATGAAAAGAAAATTGATCCATGAACAAGCAAAAGAATGAACAAAATTAGAAATAGAACCATAACACTTCAACTTTGAAACTTACCTAGATGGTGTTACCACTTCTACTTAGATATTTTTATTTTAAGGCAGTATACATAAGGCCAGTAATACCAAGATAAATACATTTGAAAAATCACCCAGCCAATTTTCTTGTTTTCATAATCCCTACCAAAAATGATTTTGGCTGATTTTCTTATTGCATTGATTGAATTGGCTACTCATTTGAATAACTTGTCTCTAGAAAATACTGAGCATTACAAAGAATACTAGTCTGTACTTGGAAGCAAAAAATCTGGGTTTTTAAATCCTTTCTCTGCCACTTAATAGCTGTAAGACGATTAGCTGTAAGAAAGTATGTGCTGTATTTATTTCCTGAGGCCGCAGTAATAAATTACCACAACCTTGGAGCTTAAAACATCAGAACTTTACTCTCTCACAGTGCTGGCAGCCTGATGTCCAAAATCCAGGAGGACCATATTCCTTGCAGGGACTCTGGGGCAGAATCTGTTTCCTTCTTCCAGCTTTTAGTGGCTACTCCACATCCCTGGGCCCTGTGGCTGCATCACTCCCACCTCTGCCTCCATCATCAAATTGCCTTCTGTGTCTCTCTGTCCTGTCCTCAAAACTCTTAATTAATGACATCTTTTATCATGTAAGGTAAAACTCACTCTACCATGTAGGGTAATATTCACAGGTTCCAGGGATTAGGACATGGACATATCTTTTGGGGACCATCATCCAGCCTATTTTATCTGCCTTACCTACCCTGGGATATGTAAAAACACTTTGATGAAACTACAAAGCCCTGTCCAATATAAGAATATGTACATATCCCTAAAGGAGAAGCACAATGACGTATGAGTTATTTTTCCTATACGTAAAGAGCTTACAAAATGGAGCAAGATGAAAATTAATTTTGTATAAAAATTATATTATCTTTTCACTTTTTTTTTTTGACATGATGAATTTAATTTTCAAAAAAATCCAAACACATGGAAATAAAAAAGAAATTATCCATAATCTCACCCCTATATATATAAAATCAGTGTTAACATTTTGGTGTGTATCCCTTCAGAAGTTTTTCTGTGAGTATTTTTATTTGACAAAACTAGGATGACACTATATATATAGCCTTATTACCTGCTTTTAATTCCTGAACAACATAAAAAATACTTTACCTGTCAGTAAATATATTATGGGAATTTAAAAATGTTTCTTTAGTGGCAAAAATGTAATATTTTCAAAACTTGAAATTTGTCTTTTAAATGTTAATTTAATTAGAATAAGTCTCAGGGATTGCTCTTTTTTAACTTAATAAAGTAAACCTAACCTTGGCATAGTAGATAAGGCATTTGGCTGCTAACCAGAAGGCCAGTGGTTCAGACCCACCAGATACTCTGTGGAAGGAATACTGGGCAATCTACTTCCCCTTTTTTTTCTCCAGCCTCAGAAACCCAGTGGGGGTCACTGTGAGTTGAAATCTACTCAATGGCAGTGAGTTTTTTTTTGTTTTTTTTTTTAAGAAAAAACAACCTTTATAAAAGAGACAACTAATATCACTTTAGGTTTTTTGCAGAGAATTGTCAAAGAGAAACTTAAAACAGCATTGAGTAGAGAATCAGACTTTCTTCATACCTGGGCAAGAATTTTAGAATATTGTACAGCAGCTATCTATCTATGTCATTTTTGCATTGAAGTTACCGTAATTATCCCAGTTATTTCCAGGAAGTAATAATCCATTAAGAATCTCTCCCTCCACAAATACCATCAGAAGCTTAGAGAATTTCACACAAAAATGATGATTTCTCACCATTGTTAATAGGTTTCTTCCTGATTTACCAATACCTAGACAACGCTTACTTTATAAGCATGTTTTTAAGATCAGAAATAGCCATGTTTTGCCTTAGACTAATTATTCATTACATACTTATTTTGACATAATTATCATGGTGAAGTTTTGAGATCCTTACCCACATTATGAAGACAAAATAGTAGAGTGGGAAAATTTCTGAAGTGGAGATGTGTAGAGAATAAGAATCCAGTATTGGCTTTGCCACTGTCTGATCTAAGAAAACCACTTAATCTCCCTTTGACTCAGTTTCCCCATCTTTAAAATGAGATATTATGTAATCCTCTGGACATTATTGTCATGACCATAAAAAGTTTCCTGACTGTGCTTTTTAATATTTAAAAATATTATTGACATGAGAGAGTATTGTTTTGCATGGCCTATTTTTCTCTTTCAAGTACTGTAAACTTATTTTCAAAGATCTGATTTATACACCAGATTTTGTGTCTTTATGACACCAAAGTATCAATTACTTCAGTTAATAAGAATAAAATACCTGAGCAGTTTAAAAGGAAAAAAAAAAAAAACACTCACTGGAATACAACACCTGCTGCTTTTGACAGTGAGTTGATGTGAGTTTTCAAGTAGCATAAATAAATTATGAATTAATGACAGAATAATTAATTATTACATAAGCATTGATCTTACATATGAGAAGGAGCTCTGGTGGTGTAGTGCTTAAGGCATTTAGCTGCTAACCAAAAGATTGGTGGTTTGAACCCACCAGTTGCTGTGTGGAAGAAAGATGAGACAGTCTGCTTTTGTAAAGATTTACAGGCTTGGAAACGTAGCGGGGGTTACTATGAGTCGGAATTGACTTAATGGCAGTGAGTGAGTTTGTTTGGTTTTGGTACAAATGAGTAGCTTGGATATACTCGTAAATAATCAGTGTGTATTTTACATCACTGAAAGCTGTTTCCTTTTGTAACGCTCTTAAGTGGAGCGTAGGCATAACTTAAGGTGTAAAGCCTTGGCGTACCTCTAAAATTCTCAATGCCAATGATTTTCTTCTTTTTTCTTTTACAGATCCAGACTTTACTTACCTAGGAGGTATTTTAAATCCCATCCCAGGTTTAGTATATTACCTCTTTTTTCTCATAGTGTTTTTGATTAGTCTTATTTTCCTTTGAACATCATTCATTCATTCTTTCTAGATTGCCAGTTTGAGCTCTCAGGAGCTGATGGAATAGTGCGTTCTAGTCAGGTAGAACAAGAAGAAAAAACAAAGCCTGGCCAAGCAGTTGATTGCATATGGACAATTAAAGCTACTCCAAAAGCTAAGGTATTGTTATGTATTGAATAATTTCAGAGAACATACTAAGATATGATTTGTATAGTGTGTTATTTTGGTTCATTGCAAATATTTATTGATTATATAAACTGATATTACAACTAAGATTTATTTGGTCACTTCCCTAAACACCTACTAATAAGGTTCCAGCATTGTTATAGACAATGTAATATATAAATTTAAGGAGTATCACACATATATTAAGGCTTTTGAAATTTGTAGATTGCTAATTTGTGAGTGCAGTTATTGATCAGTATGATCATAGATTCATAAACCTTTTCATGGGGAGGAAAAACAGGCCACCAAGAGGTTAAAATGTCTTGCCAAAGGTCGCAGAGCTGGATTGCATTGTCAAAACCAAACAGAACTATGTTGAGTATTGGTTCTGGGTTCCTACCATGTTCTCTACTAATTGGATAGAATTTTTATTAGAAAATACTACAGGGAAGACTGTTTTTAAATTACTCTGACAGATTGAAATGGATCATTGCAAAAAGGGTGTGGGGGAGGTGTCATGTGACCTCCTTTAACTTCAGCAGGGGGAGAGAGAATCAAAATGAATGTCAGCAACCCAAGGTTGATTGCTGTGAGGTAGAAGGTCAGACATGCCACCACTCTCCAGCATTTTTACCAATTCTGACACCAACTGTCCCTCCCATGGCACTTTCTACTTCTCTGTTTGTTCAAGAATTTGTTGCAATGGCCGCACAGAACTCACAGACAATATTTATGATTATGGGGTTTATTAGGGAAGTAACAGGTATAATTCAGGATCAGAAACAACTCAGGATACAATTCTTCAATCAGGATAGCTTCTTCTCAGCCTTTGTAAGCAGGCACACTTCTCTCTAGCCTTGGCCTCTACCCTACATTGGTAATTGTTACAAAATTCTTTTAGCTTTGCTAATAGGTACTCAGAGACGCACTCCACTCCACCAGCAAGCCTCCTTCCTGATGAGGGCACCCAGCTTTCTTACCCCATGGGCCAGAAAGCCCACCACTCTGTCTCATGCTGGTGTCTTGTTGCTGCTGCTACTGTCTCTCTGCCATCTCTCTGCCTCCCAGGTCAAGGAGGTCCAGCACAGGGTTCTCAGGTGCAAGGATGGTTCTTGTTTCTTAAGGGTAGTGAGAGCCCCCTTTCTGCCTCTGGGATGGCTCATTTTAAGCCTAGCAGAATGATGAAACTGACCAATATTCTCATGTTAAGTTTCCATATACCTTATATCCAAGCTCCCACCCCCATAAGGGTACAATGTACCTTATTTACATTATTAGTGAGCTATCCAGTCCCTTTGGGAGAGCCACAAACACCTCACATTTGCATAGTTCCACTGAGTCATCTGGTGGGAGTCACAAGAACCATGGCTAGAAGACTCATATTAAGTAATTCACTGAACCACAATTGCTAACTACTTCTAATTTGTGTGTGTATGTGCACGCGCACTTGTGTGTGTGTGTGTGTAGAGATAAGAGGGTGTAAGGGTGGGGAGAATATACCTTGAACAAATCATTAAAATTAGATTTACAGTTAAGGTAATATGATGAATTATAATATATCTATTGCTGTTGCATAAATTCCAACTCAACTACCCTGTGTGTATAGGAGTATATCTGCACTCCAAAGAGTTTTCAGTGGCAGATTTTTCAGAAGTAGATCACCAGCTGTTCTGGTTACCTAGTGCTGCTCTGACAGGAATATACCACAAATGGGATGGCTTGAACAAACGAATTTATTCTCTTATAGTTTGGAGGCTTGAAGTCCAAGTTCAAGGTGCCAGGTTCTAGGGACTCGAATGAAAGCCCCTCAACCTTGAGCTTCAGCTCTGCTTCCTACTCCTAGCCCACTGAAGCTAGAGGCTTGTCTTCACTCAGACAGCTGCTGGCTGCTGAGGCTGACAAGACCAAGGTTGACAAGTAAAAAGGCACAGTCCTGTTGTTACCAAACTACACGGCAGGCCATTAATTCAAGTCCATTGAAAGTCCAAGGTTGTCAGAGCATAGCAGGATGCTGAACAATGACATGATTACTTAAGGGGTTCAAGCACGCTATAAGCTAGAGACCATTATCAAAGCTGTTTCTTATATACAGGAAACAGACCACATCCCTAAGGCAGCTACTCAGCTACTCACAGTAGATTCCACCATGGAGTTGATTACCAGTCTCATCATGGAGAATACTACATCCAACTGCCCAGCAACTCAACCAGGCCTAGCCAAGTTGACACACAAAGTTAACTATCACACCAGCCTTTTCTTCTGAGGTACCTTTGGGTGGACATCAACCACCAATCTTTTAGTTAGCAACCAAACTACTAGAGATGGAAGATAAAATGTACCAAATACCTTTTAAAAGGAAAGGTGAGCTTCAAAGAAAAAGATAATTCTTATGGACTAGAAATGAAGAGAGATAACTAAACCAGAGAAGTAAACAAAATTAATGGTATGAATAGCCTTACTGATCTCAGTAATTTTGGCTGCCCAGGGATAGACAGACACCCAGGAGCTTTGTTTTAATACCTAACGCTGAGATAGGAAAATAAAAAAAGCCTGGAATTCATGTGACCTTTGTGAGACTCCCTCACATAAAGCTGGAACTATCAAAGTTAGATGCTTGCCATGAAAAGGTAGATAAGAAAAAATCTCCCCTTAGCAGAGATGATGACAAAGAAACTTGTCTTTCTGGGATTGGACTTGGGGTAGAGGTGAGGATTGGGGTTCATAGTGGGGTCTTCTTGAGACTTTATATGTAAAAACCTGCTTACAAGAAGGAATCAGAAAGATGAGATGAAAAAAGACCAGGCACACTTAGAATGTAACCAAGTAGAACTTACACAAGTGAAAAATATGGTTATTGAAAGACAGATTTGAGGAAATTATCCAGAATGTAACACTGGTAGAGAGAGGCAGTATATTAAGAACGTTTTCAAGAATGCACAGAATGACTCCCAAGTAGTGGAAAAAAAGTATTTTTAACTGCCATCTAGTTATGTTGGACACCAGAGACAAAGACATAATTTTTAAAGCAACTAGAGAGAAAAGAGAAATTCCCTACAAAGAATGATACTAAGATTGACACCAATCCTCAATAACAAAATAGAAGCCAGAGAACAATAGAATAATGTCTTCAAAGTACTGAGAAAAAATAACTAGCATTCTAAAATTCCATTTCAACAACATTGTCATTTAGGAAGGTCAAAACTGAGAAAATCCTGACTTCCAGCTGCAGTGTTAGGGCAGCTGGCTGCAGGGCCTGTGGCTGGTGGTGTCTCCTGGGCCCATGACATCTCTCTGCCACTGGTCACCAGGAGATAAAAGGAGAGAGAAACAAGCAGACAGGGAGGGATCTGACTACCACTGTGGAAGAAGAGCCAAGACCTGAGTGTGTGCATCCTTTGGACCTATGGTCCCTACACTGAGAACCTCTTAGACCCAGGGGAAGATTGATGCCAAGACATATTTAGATCTCTAAGGAACAACAGCCCCACAGATGTTGAAAGGAGACAAAGACCTTCCTCCAGAGCCCATTGAGGGAGAAAGCCTTCGCTTAGAGCTGGCGCTGTTAACTTGGACTTCTAGCCTCCTGACGTGAGAGAATACATTTCTGTTTGGTAAGCCACCTGTTTGTGGTATCTCTGTGACAGCAACACTGGAGAACCGAGGCAGCGGAGGCTTTTGGCAGCTCTCAAGCCCCATTAGACAACAAGTTATGATTTAAAAAGAGCTCAGTCTGCAACAGTGCAGACAGTAGGAACAAGTTGAATTTCACCAAATTTGAGTTTTTGTCACAGATATGTGATAGAGGAAAAAAAGGCTAAGGTGTTGGGATTAAATGCAAGAGTATGATTATGATATGTGACTAAAAGTCATATCATAGACCATGGGAGTAAAGCTGGGTATGGAGGGAAGGAGGAGTTGAAAGAATGAAGAACAGTGCAAGGGCAATAGGACCATGATTTTGTATGTCACTAGGAGAGTATGTCTTGATTTTTTTTTTTTTTTTTTTGACAATCTTTTGAGTTTTCCTTCCCAGATGTTGGGGGATTAGGCTTGTAAGTAGGTGTTACCTGGCACCATCTGGGATTCACTGAGTGTCAGAAAAGTTTCATACATTAGAGGTCGGTCTGCACCCTACAGCTGAATACGTTACCGATGCTCAACTAGCAATTGGTGACACAAAGGGGATTCAAAAGCCTGAATTTCTGAGGATGAAAATTCACATAAGATGATGTCAGAAAAATCTCCAGGGATGGAGTGTCGGCCCCCGAGTATGGGGTAGTCCCTGAACCCAGACTAGGGGTGCTCCTTGGGAACCCAGGAGGGCAGAGCCTGAGGAATTCACCCTCTGAGGAAGCAAGTTTCAGGCTGCTATCAGTTCCCCATTGGAAAATCCAGATGAGAGAGATAGCCCAGATGTGTAATAAGGGAGAAGCCTGATTCTGAACTCCAGCTTCCTCATACTTCAGAGGGAGCCTCTCGAAGGGGAAACCCATTAATGTGACACTTGTGGCAAAAGCTTCACGTTTCCTTCAGACAGAATTAAGCATCAGCTTTCTCATGCTGGGGAGAAATTACACTTGTGATCACTGTGGGAAAGGCTTCAGCCAGAGTTCATATCTTATTAAGCATCAGAGAATTCACACTGGAGAACAACTCTGCATGGAACGTGTGTAGAAAAAACTTCATACACTATTGCAGTCTGACTGAGCATCAGAAAGTGCATAGGGGAGAAGTGTTAAACATTCAAATGTACTCAGTGTGGGAAAGGCTTCTGTCACAGCTCAGATCTTATTCAACATCAGAGAGTTCACACCCAAGAGAGACCTTACGAATGCGAAGAATGTGGAAGTCAGAGTTCGTTATTCATTCACCACCAAATGATTTACATGGGAGAAAGACTCTGTGAATGTAATGAGTGTGGAAAGTTTCATTCGGAACTCAAGCTTCATCTGCCATTGCCAGATTCATACAGAAGTGGAACGATACGAATGCAA